CTTATATATATATAAGTAAAGTCACACACGAACACCCGTGTAGATAAAAACAAAGTCAAGGTATAGAATAAGGGTGTTTAAAGTTTAACTGACAAGCTCTCGAGATTACATCTCTTCATCAGGTCAGCAGACATTGGAATAGAATCAAATAATCAAAAAACTGTGAAACAATTGTGTGACTCATTGATTATCTATAACGCATTGTATTTGTTTTTGATTATTTAATTCTATTCCAATGTCTGCTGACCTGATGAAGAGACGTAATCTCGAAATCTTGTCAATTAAACTTTAAACAGCCTTATTCTATACCTTGACTTTGTTTTTATCTACACGGGTGTTCGTGTGCGACTTTACTTCTATATATACATGTATATGTATGTATATCAAGAGTACATAATGGGAGACAATCTCCATTATCCATATAAGAGTATATATAATCTCCCATGATGTACTCTTGATGTATATAGCGCCCGAGAAAGAGAGAAATATTGTGAGAGAGAGAGAGAGACAGAGAGAGGGGGGGGGCGAGAGTCACGGAGAGGGAGAGGGCGAGCGGGAAGGCGAGAGAAGTAACTATATTAGAAGGAATATGTGCATCCGTGCCTGTGTGTGTGCCGTACGTGCGTTTGTACTTAAATCAGTAAATCAGTAAAGTGCTTATAAGGGTTTCATCTTTCGTTATTTCTTTAAATTCGTCATGCACAATGTTGCATAGCCAATGTACAACGCCAAGATACCTGGAGCAGGAGCGAATTAGGGGCTACACTGGTAGAGCTACTTAATTAGTACCCTGTAATTATTTACTAGTTATCACGCTGCGGGACTGAAGACAGTCGGGAGTCGACAGTCTCCTTGAGTGTAGCTGAGTTTAGATTATACATATGACAGGAACATGCTACATTATGTATATATGGTTGTATTTTACAATTTCGCCTTTTACAATTTGACAAAAATGAAACTTGATACAAGGCATGCCATTTTTAAGCAAAGGATTCAATATAGGTGCGAAATATAATGCCATAATTAGGTGGAAACTACACCAATACGCATCAAACCTGTGGTAAAAATACACAAATGCGTAAACCGGCAAACTATGAGACAAATTATTAGAACTGATAACAGGCAAAGTCAAAGCCAAGTTTTTAAATGCGCAAGACCAAACCAATATGGCAGCAACAACATGATGTAATAGAATATTACATATTACACTAATATTATATTACGATCGACCATACGTTTTATATGTACACATTACACCAAAAATTGTATATTTGACTAAAGAAAACGAAATTGTACAGCTTTTTCTATATTTACAGTAAACACTTCACATAATCCGACATACTTTACAATAACTGCATATGGTCAATGCGCACAATTAATGAGGTTTAGTTTTTCCATACTTTCTCAATAACACACAAGTTGTTTATACTGCTAGAATACTGTTAAGCTAATACCAGAAAGCTAACCACCTATTAAACTTACTCGTTTTAGCATATACTAAATGCGTAGAATTGCATGTTTCACTAATACATGCATGTTATACTGGAGAAGCCATGTAAATGTAAAAATGGAAACTTGTTTCATACACATCTGACAGCTAGCACTGTAGTTCCCAAATTTGTTTGGGTCGGCAAGTGTGCTTGTATAAAGTGCTTGGTAAATATACCAAAAGGCAACCTGGTACTGTTTAATAAACTGGTGCACAATGAAGCAAAGATGAGAATGAAGAATGAATCGGGGAAAAATGTGTCAAATAGCGATCAGAGTAAGCTTAGGCAAAGGCACCATCCGCGTGTAGAGCAAAGCTCCCACCCCGCGACTTTCCTCATAAATCATGTTCTTGTTTAGGAGCTGTGGTTTGCTTGGATTCTCAGTGTTCTTCATCTTCGTGAAGCATTTAGCAAATGCCACCGGCATATTCATCCTCATCGTCCTCTTCAGCAGCAGCTCCCTGATTCGCCCCCTCTCCTGTCGGCAACTCTTTCTTCTTAATGGTCCCCGGTACACGTATTGTGCGGGCGAGCTGAGCGTACTGAAAACAAAATCGACATAAAAAAATGAGCTAAAAAATTCCGCTCGTGTCATTTTACTTTTCCTAGTCAATCGACCGGAAGCATCGCTCACACTTACAGAGACACACACTTTACACATTACACTTACATACTAAACAAGCAATCTATGTTATTCTGTTTGTCTCCTGTTTGCTCGCTAACTGTACTCGTAAATCTGCAAGAATTATCAACTTATGTTCTCCTGCCTGGATAAGAAACGTTCGTTTCCGCAAATCACTCCACATTTCAAAACAAATTGAAGAATAACGACCCACACACGATGCGACACACGAATCTAGGTGAACAACACGTTCAGCTAATACACGACACGTATGCACTAATTTCATGTGCAATCGTCACACACTATGAATTGATTTTAATTGGATACAACACGGACTAAACATGTAAATGGTGCAAAACGAGATGAGAGCCACGGACTATTACGGACCAAATTAGTAGCTAATTACTGGCACGCTCGCGTGGGAAATCCACGTACTATGAACGTAATAATAACGGACTCTCGAGATTAGATCATTGCTAATAGGCAGTTCGTTAGCAGTCCGTGGTTAGTACGTGTGTTTTGCAACGGACTGTAATTAGCTGTTAATTTGGTCCGTACACTGTAATAGTCCGTGACTCCCCGTGTGCGTTTTGCACCATGTACGTGTTTGGTTCGTATTTTATCCAATTCTTGCAGTTCGTAGTGACACGAGTACGTACCACGTTCTCCATGTGTCGCACGTAGAGTCCGTTCAGCACCTTGTCGGCCGTCTCCTGGTCACAGTCATCATACGCCCGCAGCAGCACCTTCACTATCTTGCACTCGTCCGAATCGTTGAAACCCGGGCAGCTGCATGAAAAAATATTTTATTTTATTTATTTAGGTAATTATCCTAATATGCCTACAATGGCCAGACACTACACGCTAACGTTCGCTGTCTCACGCTAGAGCTATGACGCAGGTCTGATAACGCTCGGGGTAGAACATAGGTGGCGCTGTCTCACGCTAGAGCTATGACGCAGGTCTGATAACGCTCGGGGTAGAACATAGGTGGCGCTGTCTCACGCTAGAGCTATGACGCAGGTCTGATAACACTCGGGGTAGAACACAGGTGGCGCTGTCTCACGCTAGAGCTATGACGCAGGTCTGATAACGCTCGGGGTAGAACACAGGTGGCGCTGTCTCACGCTAGAGCTATGACGCAGGTCTGATAACGCTCGGGGTAGAACACAGGTGGCGCTGTCTCACGCTAGAGCTATGACGCAGGTCTGATAACGCTCGGGGTAGAACACAGGTGGCGCTGTCTCACGCTAGAGGTGTTACACAAGTCTGATAACTCTCGGGGCAGAACACATGATGGCACACCACTCGTGCTCAGCTACTGCTTTCACTAAGCCGACTTCACGACGCAAGATTAATATATCGTAAATGCGCAAAATGTTGGCCTCCTCTACACGTAGCAGTAATAGAAGGCACCTTTCGTGCTCCATATGAGAGCGTGACAAGATCGGCAAAATTTCTCGTCGAGCCTGTCACGCTAGTACCTGAAAAAATTCGTCGACTGATTACTGTGAATGAGAAATTCTCAGGCATGACGGCAAACGTACTTGAGACTGTCCCCGTAAGCTCTCTCCGCGGCAATCAGGTCCCCGAGGGCTAACTGCACGAGCACAGCGGCGACAGTCAATCTGAAGACTTGCGGCAGCAGGTCGAGCGACGTGTAGCACTCTTGGCTTTTCTTTATTGCGCCCATAGCCATCTCCAACCTACGATATGTACACACAGAGTAGTATGCCAGCCTCAAGTCCCAAACAGGTATCTGACGGAACAACAACAGGTGCCGACGTGCACGAATCTATAAATTTAGAAACCTCACAACATATCCACGTTGGTCTACCACCACCACCATGAACACCACTGCAATTATCTTAGTCGCAGATGATATTAGGTTTCATGATATCATTACTGCTACTTGCCAAAGTGTAGAAGCACTAGAAGATTGATAATAGAATCAGAAAAAAAAAAGAAGAAATCATAGATCACATAAGAACCTTGACCCTGACTTTGACCTTGACCTCAAACCAAGGTTCTCTGGCTTCAATCTCTATGTATGGTCCAGCTTCCTCTAATTAGTACTACATGCTTACTTTCTGTGTTTAATCATCACTTTGATTGCCTTGTTCAGTAGGTCACAGCACTGCTTTGGTCTGTCCTCAAGCTGGAACGAATGATGGGGGAAACTATGAGTAATTCTGCTATATGGGTGCATTTACACACATATTTTTGCGATATCAACACAAGCATCAGATGCTGGCAACGTAATAGTGTCATTGCACACTGCACGACTTTAAAGAAAGGACAAAACCACCAGTTCTAATATACATCATAGTGAAATAACCAGACAACCTACAGACATCGCCTCGTAGGCTTGAACGTAGAAGTCTATTGCTTTCTCAGGCCTCGTTTCTGCCAACACACTGCAAAGCATACACAATGACACTGTCACAGGCAATACAATCACATTTCCTTAAAGGGATACTAGACTCTAGGATTTTACTGCATACAACTGTACTTACTGTATAACAAATCGTCTATACCCACACGTACTTGTTACCAGATACCTAATTTAATTGTTATAATTAATTATACATCGCTACGAAATTTGAACGCCACAATTGACAACCGCGACCGTGCTGCCACCCTGAAAAAGTTGCGCATTTCCCAATATATTTTGCATGTTACAGACCAAGGGCTAATCACAAAGGTGCAATTATATTGATACCTAAATTAGGGGTGAATATTGCGACCAAAAACCGTATTGCAATATATTGCAAT